CCGGGGGGGCCGGGCGGCGTGGTTTTTCCCGCCGGCGAGTCGGACAGTGACCCTCAGTTGCCCCTGGTGGTCACGCTTAGTAAAGGACAGGCATTTCTTGTGCCTGGGCCAGTGCTCGGTCTGTGTGAGGCATTTTACTGCAAACATCTCATTTTACCCTGACCCTCCGAGGTAGGTGGTATGATCGTTCTCTCTCTTTTTTTTTTTAGCAGATGAATTCACTTAGGCACAGGGAGATGACGTGATTAACTCAAGGTCACAGTGTCAAGGATGGAACCCAGACCACCTTATTTCCTTATGGGTGAGCACACCTCCAAGTGTTTCCGTACGTCAGAATTTCAGAATTTCAGCTCTAGTTGAACGTCCAGGTGGGCTTGTCGTTTAAAGGGATCCCCGCAGGTGACCTTTTGGTGGGGAGTTGCCCCCCTGTTTGCACGCGTTTGGGGGTTCCCGTGGTTCCGGGCTGGTTTGGACGAGGTGCGGGGGGAGGACGGGAGGGGGTGACTCAGCCGCACGGAGGGAGGCTCGGCAGCCGTCCGTCCGGCCTCACCCGGGCCTCGGCGTCCGCCCGGCTCCAGGGAGCAGCAGTTTCTCTCTGACTCACTCGCTTCCTTCAGCTCCAGTGGCTGTGACTCCGCCTTCCCCACCCAACCAGGTAAAGACAGACAGTTGTGCACCGGCGCCAGGCCCCCGTTTCTCCGCAAATATTGACAGAGCATGACAGTTAGAGACAGTGCCGTCTGTGGCGCCTCCGTGCAGGGTCATAAATAACCTGTGGGCCCGGCCACACCTGTGCCCAAGCAGCGCTGCGCGTGGGTGTCGGACACGGAGAGCAGGGCCTCTGCGTCCTCTCACTCACAGCCCGTCGCCAGCCTCTCGGGGTGCGGAGCGTGCTCCCATGGCCCCGGCACTGTCCTACCTACAGACCCCTGCTCGGCAGGCGCATCCGGCAGCAGCAGGGGAGTAGCGCTCAGGCTCACTCCGTGCCCGCACCGTGGAAGCTCCATTGTGTGTGAATTCAGAGCTCCCCACTTTTCAGAAGCACACCGCTGTGAGGAATACATTTTACTTAATCACTGACATCTATGTACCATGTATATAACAGAAACAGCATTTTTGTAAAATGGTACGCATCCTTTATGATATGCAATATATCCGGGTAATTTTTTAAAACGATGTTTTACTGATTTTTAGAGAGAGAGGAAGGGAGAGAGACATCTTCTGTCGGCTGCCTCCTGCATGCCCAGTACTGGGATCAAGCCCCTCAGCCCGGGCATGTGTCCTTACTGGAGTCTGAACCACTGAGCCACACTGCCTGGTGATTTTTGTTGGTTTTGTTAACCCTCACCAGGGGATATTTTTTCCATTGCATTTTCAGAGGGAGGGAGAGAGGGAGGGAGAGGGAAAGGGAGAGAGATACATCCGTGTGAGAGACACATTGACTGATTGCCTCCTACCCCCAATTAGGGCAGGGAGCCAACCCACAACCCTTCCGTGCACAGGCTGATGCTCCAACCACTGAGCACACTGGTCAGGGCTACTCTGGTGATTTTTATTTTTGCCTTTATGTTAAAAATAGGGGTACATGCTAGTAGCCCTCGCCTGTTTGGCTCAGTGGATAGAGTGTCAGCTTGCGGACTGAAGGTCCGGGTTCAATTCCAATCAAGGGCATGTACTTCGGTTGCAGGCTCCTCCTCAGTCGCGGCCCTGGTCAGGGCAAGTGCAGGAGACAACCCATCAATGTGTTTCTCTCACATCAGTATTTCTTTCTGTCTTTCCCTCTCCCATTCTCTCTAAAATATCAGTGGAAAAATATCCTCGGATGAGGATTAAAAATAAAAAAATAGGGGCACATCAAAACTAAAGTGATGAAAAACCCGTTATTAGGTGTTACCAATATGATTAATGTACATATATAATTCCCACAAACCTCCTGAGTTCAATGTAATAAATCGCTTGTGGGCCCAGCAACAAATGGGTGCCTAAGCAGGGTTCCATGCTGAGGTGGGAGTGATGTTACTTCCTTTTCACAGAGGTACAGAGAGCTGAAGGATTTCGTCTAAGAAGGTCACATAGCTAGTAAAGCAAGGATTTCAAGCTAGGCAATCTGGGCCCAGAGCCTGAATACTTAACTCCTATACTGTTCTCTATAGAGGGCCTTATCTTGTAGGGCAGTGATGGCGAACCTTTTGAGCTCGGCGTGTCAGCATTTTGAAAAACCCTAACTTAACTCTGGTGCCGTGTCACATATAGAAGTTTTTTGATATTTGCAACCATAGTAAAACAAAGATTTATGTTTTTGATATTTATTTTATATATTTAAATGCCATTTAACAAAGAAAAATCAACCAAAAAAATGAGTTCGCATGTCACCTCTGACATGCGTGTCATAGGTTCGCCATCACTGTTGTAGGGAGATAGTTGATTAGGGAATTAAAAATATTAGTAAATGTTAAAAACTTAAGAGACAACAAAAGGACTAAAATACATATAATCAAGAATTAATCATGATTCAAAGCATCTGCCAACTATTTATTTTCCCTAAAGAAAATTTTATCCATTGGGTCTGTATTCACAAGACTGCCTATCTTAAGTCTTTTATGCTTGAAATATTCTCTTAATTTCTTACCTTCAGGACTCTATCTACCTCCTCACTTTACTAGTTCTTAATCTGCCCACTTCCTCCAGAGTCTTATACCTCCTCCCAAGAATAGCCTACATTTGGCTGTTTATTAAGTTGTAATATGTTTTGGTATTGATAATGTGCTGTACGGGCCACAGGTACCTCTGGTGATCCTGAGATCTGGCAAAAAGGGCGCTGGACTACTCACTTCTTCAGACACCACCCATTTTACAGATGAAGCCACTGAGATAATGGAGCAACTGACTAGTCACCACCCCACCTCTGGAGCCTCACACAGGACTCTTCTCCTCCCACTTGAGTGACTGCAGGTTGGTTAAGGGGTTTAATGAGGCTGGGCAGGTGAATCAGGCTTAGACTCTGGAAATTGAACCACAGGATTTATACTCCATTCAGAGGAAGGATTTTTGCTCCTCTTACCTCACATTGACTAAAGTGATATCACATTATTTACTTAATCATCACAGGCAGTGTTTCCAGAAAGATATTATTCTACCTATTTTATGGAAGATCCATTTCTGGATCAAAGTAGTGAAGTGACCTGCTCAAGTTTACACAGCTTAGTAGGACCTGAGCTGAGCCTCTTGACTCCTAGTTGTGGATTGTTCCTTTCCTTTGCTTCTCATGTTTGCGACACTGACTTTGATACATGGAATACCTCTATTTTAAACTCGGAAAGCTTTCCATTCAGTCTTTATTTTTCTGTTTCAGAACATCCAATCCACTTATGTTAGGTTTCTGACTCTTGATTTAAGAGAATCTCTTCCTTCTTATTTTCTAATGTTTACATTTATGGATTTGGGGAGTGGTGGGCATGATTCCTACTCAGTAAGACTCTTGGATTCCCAGGGGCAGGGATTACATTTTTTTCCTGAACTACCTGGCCCAGTAAGTATACGGCAGCTTTTTCAGTTTGCCCTACCAAGACACCAGCATTTTTTTTTTTTAAAAAAAACAACATGGTTTCTTTTTCTCTTCCCTTTTCACACTTAGCTTCCCATTTCTCTTTTATTTAAAATTATAGTAAATTAAGAGTCCTTTTCTCTCATTACTTTCAGAGTGCAGCCTAGAAACGTCATTCCCACTTTGTGTGGATAGTAACAATTTGACTTTATTTGCTGGTGACCCTGCATTGCTGTTAGAGGGTCGGTACTTGTTTCCTCAGAAACAGAAGAAATACGTTGGTGTGCCTTCCAGAAGTGACGAGGAGATACAGCAACATCCTGGCCTAAGTTCTCCCAGTTGGGCAAAGCAATGCCCATAGGTTCCCCAGGGTCACTCTGAAATAAGGCATGGAGAAGGGAGTACAGAAAAAAGTTAAAGGGGAAATGAGAACAGATAATTAGCAAATGCTAAGTATCAAAAGTGAGAAAGGAAAGGAAGGTAAGAAAACGAAAGAGAAAATAATAGGGCAGAAAAGAGGAGAATACAGGATTGGTGGAAGGGAGGTGACAAGAACAATCCAGAGATCCATTAGCCCCTCCTGTATTGTAGGAAGCATAGGCTGCTGTCTTGAACCAGGAAGAGCAGCTGGTATAGTAACTCCTTGAGCTGATCTTGAGCAGCAAATCTCTTTTAATTTTTTATTTCCAGTATCAGGTGGGGAAAATATTTTTGTGTTTGCTATCAGCTGGGGATGTGACTAGGTGCCAGTAATTTTAATATCTGCATCAGTTCAGTTAGTTTATTAAGGAAAAATGTGCTACAAAATCAACATAAGGTATTCCAGGTCAAATTTCATTTTATTCATTCAATAAACACTGATTGTTCGATATATCCCAAACACTAAGGATAGTCAAATGAATGAGATCCTATCCTTGCCTTCAAGATGTTTATGGTCTGGAGAGGGAGATAGACTACTCAGTAGGTTTACAGTTCAGAGTGTTAAAGTGTTAGGATATGAGTAAGCAGAGGGTGCTATGGGCTCAACTAGGGACCTTGATGCAGTTTTGGAGGGGACCCAGGGATCTAGGCTGCCTAGAGAAGTTAACATTCAGGTTGAGTCTCCAGTTGGCAAATTGCAAGGTGGAGAGCAGGGAAGGGTATTACAGGCAGAGTTCCTTCAGAAGTTATAGTCATTTTAGGAAGGCATGAACGATGTTTGCATGATCCAGTTATTGGTGATGATTGTTCTGCTTCAGAAATGTAGATTATTGAGACTTTACTTGGTAGAGCACAGAGTTAAAGTCCTTATTTTGTAGCAGTAATTCTTTTTTAAGATTAAGACACCGGAAATTTTATTTCCAGTCTTAGTGTAAGGACAAAATATAAATCACAGCTTTTGAGTTAGCAAATGATTGTTAACCTTCTGTGCAGTAAAAGAAAGAAGGTGAGGGCACAACATATCTCTTTCTCATCCAAGTTTTGAATTTGATTGTGTTCTGCTTTGTTTTTAAAGGAGTATGTAGAAATTTAGGGTCTTGGCTAGGATGTTTGAATTAAGGAACAGGGAAATGAGTTGAAGAGTAATTGCTACTTTGTGGCAGAACAAAATAAATACTTTTAAATAGCTGAATTATCTGATTTCGCCTCCTGAGCACAAGCAAGATGTAGTTGGGGACCTTGTTTCAGAGAGACAATTACTTGAACCAGACAAAGCATTTGTTCAACATTATTCACTGTAAAATATGTTGTGTCCAGATTAAGAGCATTGATTTTTTTTTTTTTATGAGACACGGATATATCTGCATTAAACAGAAACCTTATGTGTATTCATAGGCTAATACTGGGATTTTCCTTGGATTAAAAGATAAGTGATATTGTGTAGTAGGGAAGAACATGCTTAGAAAATAACACATAGATCATTCAGTAATCATTTCTCAGTTGTCTTCTTTCTTGACCTCTGAGTAGCATTTGACACTCCCTTCTTGCACACTAGTTTCACTTGGCTTCCAGGATGCCACGCCGTGGTTCTCCTCCTACCTTACCATCCATCCTTCTCCTTTTCAACCTCCCTCTCCACCCCCCACCCTTCACTCTTCAGCCTCCAATGATGGAGTACTTGGATCAGTCCTTGGATTCCTTCTCTGTCTGTGCTCATTTCCTAGGTGCTTTATTTCAAGACTAAATACTATTTATACCCTGACAATTCTCAAGTGTATGTTACTAGCTTGAATGTCTTCCCCTGAAGTCAAGGCTTTTATATCCTAGTGCCTACTGGATACCTCCACTTGGGTATCTGATAGCTTCTTGAACTTAACATATTTAAAAAATGGACTATGGAACTTCTCCTCTCAAACCTCTTTCTCTGGCAATTCATCCCCATCTCAGTTTCAGTTGTATTGAATGTATGGTGACCTCTCCCTTGACTTGTTTTTTTCTCTTACTCTCTTCATCCAGTACACCAGCAGGTCCTGTCAGCTGTACCTTGAAAATAATACATTCAGGTATTGAACACTTCACACTACTTCCCCTGCTACTATTAGAATAGTTTTTAAATGTTCTTCCTCCTTTGCTCTTTTTAAAAATACATTCTAATTGATTTTTTTAGAGAGAGAAGAAAGGAGAAGAAGAGAGAGAGAGAAACATCGATGAGAGAGAGACATCATTGATCGGCTGCCTCCTGCTGGCCCTCCACAGGAGATTGAGCCCACATAGAGGGATAAGGAGAGGAAGATCTGTATGAATAAGATGGTGTTCCTGCCCTCACGTTTCCTTCTTTTTAAAAAAATGTTTTATTGATTTTTGAGAGAGAGAGAGAGAGAGAGAGAGAGAGAAGCATCCATGTGTGAGAGAAACATCAATCGACTGCCTCCGGCCCCTCCTTCCCCCTACTGGGATCAAGCCCGAAACTTGGGCATGCGCCCTGACTGGGAATCTACCAGTGACCTTTTGGTGCATGGACAATCCTCAACCAACAGACACACTGGCCAGGGCTGCCCTCAAGTTTCTTAGTCTAAAAAATGATTATTTTGACCAAAACAGTACTGTGTTTTCTAGCAGGATAAAGTGATACATCATTTTGGAATTGGGGAGGTAAGGACTGGTGTGCAAGAGTATGAATGTTTTCAGAGACAACGTTCTGCTTTGTCAGACTTAATAATTTGCTGAAACTGAAAGAAAAAAATGTGCTAAATTTTCATTGGAAATATTTGGTCTGTATTTAGCTTTCATAAAATTTACAGCAGAAAAAGTAAATTTACATATACAAGTTAAGCTAAAAGTTTTTGAAAAGTAAGGTTCGGTATAAGTTTTAAGTCGATTGAAATAAAATACAGTAAATGCAAAAAAAAATAATTGCACTGCCTCTTGGAGGGCAGTATTGATGATAGCTACCTGGCATTACTGGCTTTTGGGTTATAGTTTGTGTTTGGTTTTGCCTTGTTAATAGCAAGAGTTTCTTAAAAATTCCATTGTCAGTCTTAGTTATTTTTAGGTACCTCCTAAGAACCTTCTGTCATAGCCACCTCCTCTCAGGATAAGTGCAAGAGTTTACTATCTTTACCTCTCCCATATCTGAAAATTCTTTTCCGGAATTCCTGACTATCCACTTATTAGCCGTTTGGTCTTGAGCCTCAGTTTCTGCTCTTGTCAAATAGAGGTAATGTGAGGATTAAATGACTAAATAACGTGGGTTTGAGACTAGGAGAATGAAAAGAGAAGATTGTAAAGGACAGATAATTTTTTTAAAGCAAGTACTGTATATTTCTGCTTTATTTTGAAAGAATTTTAATTTTCTAATGAGAACAATAAAGCTTTTCTTCTTGAAATCAAAGACTAATATATTGCTTTATAGAAAATATTTCTCTCTACTCAGATGCTTATCCCTATATTGCATGAGAGAAATGAAATGCTAGAACCCCACTCCTTGCTGCCAAGTGAGTTGGTATCTAGAAAGGAAAACAACCATTTTCCTTTATTTATTTATTTTGAAAAATATATTTCATTGATATTTTACAGAGAGGAAGGCAGAGGAATAGAGAGCCAGAAACATTGATGAGAGAGAAACATCGATCAGCTGCCCCCTGCACACCCCCTACTGGGGATGTGCCCGCAAACAAGGTACATGCCCTTGACCGGAATGGAACTGGGACCCTTGATTCTGAAGGTAGACACTCCATCCATTGAGCCAAACTGGCTAGGGTTTTTTTTTAGTTGGAGACCGTAGAATTTGAGAGAGGTTCAAAGGAGTCTATGATGATGATAATAGTAATAATAGTAATGGCTAACCTTGATGAAAAAGGCACTGTGCTAAGCACATTTTGTGGATTGTCTTATTTTAACAACATAACAACCATATCAGGCTGGTGCTATGAGAGGTAGAACAGTGTTAGGAGTAAGGAACATAGACTTTGAGGTCAGATGTCTTGCAATGACTCTTCAGCTTTTTTTTTTTTTTAATCCTCACGCAAGGATATTTTCCATTGATTTTTAGAGAAAGTGGAAGAGAGAGGGAAAGACATAGAGAAATATTGATTTGAGAGAAGCACATCAATTGGTTGCTTCCTGCACGAGTCCTGACCAGGGCCCAGGCCAGGGAGGAACCTGCAACGAAGGTACATGGCCCTTGACTGGAATCGAACCCGGGACCCTTTGGTCCGCAGGCCAATGCTCTATCCACGGAGCCAAGCTTTGCCAGCAACTAGCCATGTGGCTTTGGATAAGAAAAGAAAAATACTTTATTTTCCTCATCTGTATCTGTAAAATGAGGGTAATAATAGTACTTCATAAAATTGTAATGATTAAAATAATGTAAGCCATGTAAAGTGCTTAGTATTGTGCTTGGCACATAGAAAATGCTCACCAAATGTCAGCTGTTATCATAATTAAAATAATTGTTATCCTCATTTAACAGATGGAGAAACAAAGCTTAGAGAGAGGTAAGATTTTTTTGCCTAAGTGACACAGTAAATAAATGATGGGATTTGCTCCGAGGCAGCCAGACTTCAGAACTCTTTCTTAACAATTACACTACACCACCTTCATGGGTTTAGGGCAGTGGTTCTCAACCTTCTGGCCCTTTAAATACAGTTCCTCATGTTGTGACCCAACCATAAAATTATTTTCGTTGCTACTTTGTAACTGTAATGTTGCTACTGTAATGAATGGTAATGTAAATATCTGATATGCAGGATGGTCTTAGGCGACCCCTGTGAAAGGGTCGTTCGACCGCCAAAGGGGTCACGACCCACAGGTTGAGAACCGCTGGTTTAGGGGAAGAGACTGGATAAGAACTGCATTTTGTCCAACCTGAGGTAAACATAGATGTAAAAGCTAGGCTTGGGTTTGGACCTCACTTATTTGTTATCTTAAGCATCTTATCACCATAGCATGTGCTTGGTTATTCTTTGAGTTGATTCTTACCTAGATCCAAAAAAACGAATGAGTGGTGGGTTGATGGTCTTCTCCATAATTAACCCATAGGGTGTTTCCTGGCCAGAAAACAGCTGAATAAACACCTATGCCCTTCCCAGTGCTCTTTGGATTAGAGGTAGAAGCTTGTCTGGTTTCTCTAGTTAGTATGATTTGTTTCTCTTCTTAATAAACGTGGTAATGAAGAAAAGTAGAGCAGTGTACACGTTGAACACTTTCTATGTGCCACGCATTTTACATGGGTTATCTCATCAAATCCTTAAAATAATGCTATAAAATAGTTGCTCTTATCCCTATTTTATAGAAACAGAGAGAGGTTAGGAAACTGGCTTAAAATTACACAGTAAGTGGTACAGCTGGGATCTGAATAAGCAATCTGGCTCCAGCATCCATGCTTTTAACCTCTACACTCTACTCGTATTCCTCCCTTACCTGTGTAAAGTATGGGCCTGGTGGCTTAGTAGGACCAGTTGTTTTTCCCATCGAAAAAATGGGAAGATTTTGAGTGTTGGGCCTGTGACCTTCCTCCTCATTATTATTTTTATTGATTTTACAGAGAGGAAGGGAGAAGGAGAAAGAGAGACATCCATTAGCTCCTGGTCGCCCTCCACTGGGGATTGAGCCCACAACCTGGGCATGTGTCCTGACCTGGAATCGAACCAGCGACCTTTTGGTGCATGGGATGATATTCAATCAACTGAGCCACACTGGCCACGGTGATCTTGTCTATTTGTTTATTTATTTATTATTATTTTATCTTTTTATAAACTCCTGTGTCGAGGGGGGTGATCTTGTCTTGACCCTATCATCAACTTGCCTGGTCCAGAACTTCACTTTTCTCAGCCATATTGTCCACATTCATTAAGCAGCTGTGTCGCTCTGAACCATCCCTGAGACAGATCCCTCCTACCTCTGATGTTCTCTGATTGATCATATGAAATGAGGAGAGTAATAGTAGCTCAGCTTCTTGACTTTGAAGCAGTGGTATTTGTGAGGTTTTAGGGAGTCTGCTTTGTGCAGGGAAGATGCCAGAGTTCTAGGCAGAGAGTGAGCTGCCTTCCTGAAGAAGGTAGGTCTGATCTCTTTTTTGATGATGGTTGCCAAGGGAACATTGCCTCTGGCCAGCAACAGTCAGGAATGCTTTGGTTGAGGATTGAGTATAGATAACTAAAACAAGCAGCACATTTAGGTTTCATTTTCCAAACTACCCCCTACCTCACTAGTCCACTTTCCTTTTCAAGATGCTAGTTTTATATACTTTCTATGTGATAGGCACTTTTTAAAGTACTTTACAAAGTATTATGTTACTTAATCGTCATAGTTATATTATGAGATTGGTACTTGTATATTTACAGATAATGAAAGTGAAGCAAATAGAGTTAATACTTTCTCTATATTTACTCAAGTGGAAAGTGGTATCAAATCCACTAAGTTATAATGTCGGGTTGGAGCTAGAAAAAAAAAAGCAGAGAGAGGACTGTATTTATTAGTGGGTTTTGTTTGATTGTTTTGTTTTTGTTCTGTTTAGAATGATAGACCCTTGGAGTTGGAAAGGGCCTGTGCAGTAATACAGTCAAGCGCCTTGTCTCCAGATTGCCATCCAGTTAGTTACAGGAATGCTTTGTCATTCCCTGACAGATGACCATCCAAGTTCCTTTTGAATACTTCCATTGCTGAGGAACTCATCACTTCTTGAGGAGTCCCATTATACTGTTGTATAGCTCTCATTGGTAGGAAATTATTTCTTGTTTTGAATTGTAATCTAATTAGATAACTTATCCGTTTTAGGCCTGTCCCCTGGAATCATACAGAAGAAATACAATCTACCACATGCTAGTCTTGTGAAGGTTGGAAGACATTCTTCGTATTTATAAAGCATATTTACAATTTTCTTTTTTAAAATTTTTTTTAATCCTCACCCTAGGATATTATTTATTTATTTTTAAATATATTTTACTGATTTTTTTACAGAGAGGAAGGGAGTGGGATAGAGAGTTAGAAACATCGATGAGAGAGAAACATCGATCAGCTGCCTCCTGCACATTCCCTACTGGGGATGTGCCCGCGACCAAGGTACATGCCCTTGACTGGAATCGACCCTGGTACCTTTCAGTCCGCCAGCTGATGCTCTATCCATAGAGCAAACCGGTTAGGGCCCTAGGATATTTTTTAGAGAGGTTTTTTTGTTTTTGTTTTTGGTTTTTTTTTTGGAGAGAGAGAGTGGAAGGGAGGGGCAGAGAGAGAAGCATCTATGAAAGAGACACATCAGTTGGTTGCCTCCCTCAGGCACCCTGACCAGGGGGCGAACCTGTAACCCAGTATGTGCCCTTGACCAGGAATCGAACCCATTACCCTTCAGTCCCCAGATCAGTACTCTAACCACTGAGAAAAACAGGCCAGGACTGTAGTTTTCTTGTAGCATCTAAACTTGCATTCGCCAAACCGGTTTGGCTCAGTGGATAGAGCGTCGGCCTGCGGACTCAAGGGTCCCAGGTTCGATTCCGGTCAAGGGCATGTACCTTGGTTGCGGGCATATCCCCACTGGGGGGCATGCAGGAGGTAGCTGGTCGATGTTTCTCTCTCATTGATGTTTCTGACTCTCTGTCCCTCTCCCTTCTTCTCTGTAGAAAACCAATAAAATATATTTAAAAAAAAAATAAACTTGCATTCAATTCAGATTGGTCGGCACAGAAGCAATCTCTATCTCTTACTTTTGTAAGTATAGTCTTACAATAAAATTTATGCTTCTTGTGATTAGTTAGGCACAAAGTGTGGGTCCTTCCCACATTTTGGGGGAATGAATGGATAACGAGCTGAATCTATACAATTGTATATGAGTCTGAAGGTAGTCTCCTACTCTTGTAATCTCTAGGATATCAGGTTGCTGCCCTGTACACAGAGCTCACAAAATGGCTGGTGGTTTATCCAGGCACTTGATGAAACTGCATTTACTTCTTCCAACCACTAGGTGATGAACGACGCACAAACCCAGACTGCCAGGGCCGGTTGTGTACAGGGCAGTTTTTGCCTGTACTCCCAAAGGCCATCAGAAGTCATCTGGTACAACCTCATGAAAAGATATTTTTGAGGGGAGGGGAAACACATCTGTGTATACTTTGTCTTTTCCAGCTTTATTCCAATTTTAAATATTTATTTGACCAAGATACTTCTTTGAGTGATTTTCTTAGAAAAGAGACATGGGTGATATTTTCTAGGTCCTTATATATCCAGTTTTTTGTTGTTTTTTTTTTAACCTTCAGGTATATAAATTATATCTTTTCTGGATTTAGCATTCTTGAATAGTACTAGTCTCTACAAAGTCTGTATGCAGCTTTTTACTGTCTTCAGTTTCTAGTGATACAAATGAAAAGTCCTATGCCAATAGGATACTTTTTTCTTTATAAGTAATAACCTGTTCTCTCTTTTTGAAAGTTTGTAAATTTTTCTTCGTGCTTTATGTTTCGCCATGATATCCTTAGGTGTGTGTCTTTTTAAAATAACGCCTGCTTGCCACTTGGTGAACCTTTTAGACTTAAAAACTTAAGTCTTTTCTTAGTTCAGATAAGCTTTATTGCTTTCCTTCCATCTGTTTCTAATTCCTTATTTTATAGATGAGGAAACTGAGCCCAAGGCCACTAAATTAGTTAAAATGAACCTCAAGCAAACAGCCTCCTTTGTGAGTTAGACTTTCATTGTATTGGATATTGCTCTAATGAGAGGGCCATTATGAACAACTTGGAAATTTTTTAGTGAGAGAGGAATTTTGCCAAAGGAAGAAGAAATGATTAAATTAATTATAATTAAAATGTCCATTTGAAGGACTGCAAAATTCCCAGTTCCCTAGTATCTCAGTTATTGAAGTTACCCCAACGCTCTAAAACTTAATAAAGCCAGGAAGTTGATTGAACACTTAGAGAATTAGATATTTAGTTATCAGAAGTTAGATAATCATGGCCATGCCTTATTGCATATATTGGAAAACATAAAAATGGCATCTGAAGGCTTGAAGACAGATACCATAGACTGTGCCTTATCAGTGGTCTGGTTTCTGTTTTGAGTTCCTGCCTGGGATCCTGTTTTACTGGGAATCACCTATTCCTGGCTGTCTTGATCTTTGGATTTCCCCAGCCTTTCAGTCCCTTTCAGTTTTGAAATGAAACCTACCCCAGAGGGTGAGGTCGGGTACCTGAGAGGACTTTGACAGCTCACACCAGGTTGTTTTCTTTCTAGAGTGTCTGGTATGGGAATGCGTGATACATAAGGCTCAGCGGGCTGTGATATAGACTAATTGGTGATGAATCAGCCTTGCGTAAGACCTAGGCAGTATCGTTTCTTTGGGTAACCAGGAAAACACGTAGACCAAATACATTGTCTTTCATCCTCAGAAAGTTGAAAGTTAAGAGCACAGTCTCTAGAGATCTGCCAGGATCTCTCTCTGCCTTTGGTTTACAGAAGGAAAGGCTTTATTCACTATTTTTTTCTCCTCATTTGTAGAACCTCTGTTCTTTTCAGGAGATAGCCAAGTTCCTGGCTGCTCCAGCTTTTAAACTTATACTGTGCCTCCTGAAATTACTGCTCTGATATGAGGTGACTCTTCTAGATATGTCTAGACACATATCTCCACATACTCTGCTCCTGACCCTTTCACAGAATGTAGCTTCTCCCATTTACTG